GATCTAAAGCGGAATTAAATTGTATTAAGTGTGCTGCATAGTAAATATGTTTTTTATGATTTAAGTAATGATTTAAGAATCATTCATGAATGTCATAATTATTCTTTATTACTATGTAGTACTCTTAAGTTTACTCTATTAATGTAATATTTGTTTTTAGGTGTATTTTGAGGCATTTGTAATATTTTTTAAAGTTAATGGCAACTTTTAATGATTGTATATAAAATAATGGTAACTAGGTTTCTCCAATATTTACAGTTTCTCTCAAATGTATTCCTAACCTAAACTTTTTTTGTCTTGCTACGCACGCTAATTCCTTCGGGTAGTTTATGTTTTCTTACTTTTTATTGTCAAATAAAATTAACCCCTCTTCGAGAATAAGTAGGTACCTCGTACGATTACAGAATTTGTAAACCGTATTAGAATTAGAGAAATTTGTCTCTAGAAGATTAGAGCTACTTTAAATTATTTTAGAGCTCATACATACATACAGCCGTTTCTATATTCTTTCACTTAAGGAAGATAGATTTTACTTACCCGAGACACTGCAATGGGACATATGAGATGCCATGGCGTACATGAAAATACTTTGATGTTGCACCATTAAGTCTAATGGACTGGAGAAAATCTTGTCGAAAGCTTTGAAACTAAGATATGTACCAATTGACTATCACATTCCATACTATTTAGCTTTACCAACAGTAAGGTATGATTGACTTTTTAAATGCCTTTTAGAAATCTCTGAAAATACAATCCACTTGAAAAATTCATTAAATATGGAATTACTAGTTTCTCCATTATTTTAGGTATCGCAGACGTAATGGCAGTACCTCTGTATTTAAATATATTTCCCTCTCTTTGTTTTCTGTTTTCTGATATGTGGATAGGAACTAAATGACCATTCTTCCAAATGTTGGAAAAACTCAAGAATTTAAAAATATGTTGAAAATAAATACAATAGCATTTGCAAGAGATCATAAAAAAAGATAGGGACTGTTCTGAAGATCAATAAAGCTAAGACAAAAATAATGGTGGTCGACAGATTCCACACTATTTATCTGACTGACATGTTACAGGAATTCCAGATAGTGAACAGTTTTGTCTATCTCGAGTCCAGTATAACTAACGATGGTAACTGTGAAGCAGAAGTTTAGAGACGTATAGGTATGACAAAAAATGCGATGAGTTGCCTAACTAAAGTTTGAAAAGACAGATCTATCTCTCAAAATATCAAGATTGACTATTAAATGCTCTTGTATTCTCAATATTTTTATACGAGGCAAAAACTTGGACTCTTCGTGGACGCGAGCGTGAAAAAATTGATGCCTTTGGGATGTGGTGCTGAAGAAGAATGTTGCGCATACCTTGGACAGCTCATAGGACAAACATTTCCATTCTGAACCAACTTGAGATTAAAAAAGGCTGTCCAGAATATGTCTGCAACATATTCATCAATTTTTAGGTCACATGGTTCACAGAGGCGACGATAGTTTGGAGAGATTAATTGTTTCTGGAAACGTTCCAGGGAGAAGATCAAAAGGACGATCATCAACTAGATGGTCCGACCAATTAAGAATTCCGCTGGAAACTTCTGCAAAGCTCTCAGAACAGCTAAAGATAAAGAATAATGGAGAAATTGTTACGAATATTGGAAGAAATCACGATTCTCAGTAATGGAAAAACGACAAGAGAGAGAGAGAGGGAGATTATTGTGAAATTAGGTAGACTTATTAGCTAAAATCGTCAAAATGTCTTTAAAAGTTATTAGGAAATCGCCATAAGACCTTCTACAGTTAAATTAATGAAACCTAATTTTATCCTTAGCCCAGAGTTTCTCTTCCTCTTCCTCATCTTTAGCGCTACAACTCTATGTGGGTTTTGGTCTTTTTAACAAATGCATTCCATTCTTTTCTGGCATTGGAGACTCGTCTCCAATTCCAAACTCTCTTAATAATATTAGATCATTCTCGAGACTCTTTAACCAACACTTCCTAGGGAGTTCTTGTGGTCTATTTTTGGCAGGTCTTCATTAGGTGATGTTTTCTATATTTCTCTTACTGCTTATTCGGAGCAAGTAACTTCGTCGAGCTCAAAGTTTATGTGTATTATGTAGTTCCTATCCTATACTGCTCACTAACAGGCCCAGAAATCTTTCCAAATACTTTTCTTTTAAGACTTTTTAAGTCTTTCTTCAGCAGCGTCCATGTTTATCAACCATAGGCCACAATGGTGTACACATTTGTACAAAAAGTAGTGTTTTGTACAAACGTGTCTTTACAATTGTTATTTGCGTATGTGAACTCCGGATATTTCTAAATACAGCAAGAGCTTAAACAATAGCGCTAAGGGGGCGTTTCCTCGTACACTTGAAAAACATTTGATTTCACAACGATTTCCTCTTGATCAAAGATTTTTGTTATTCATTTATGAATAAATGTCATATTTTACCACAAGATCGTAACATCCTTGACTACTCTCCGAACATATAACCACCTTGTATTTTGGGCAGGCTTAATGTCATCTGTCGAGTAGACGTCATCTGCCTGCCTACTTCCAAATGAAACTAGGTTTAAACAGTTTTGTTTGTTTTGTTGATGAGCCCCAAGTAGGACGGATTACCAGAGTAGGCACAAGAAATAATAGGGCATTCATAAATTTAAAAAGCAAAAAATACAGTTGTATATTTATTTTGGCGATTAGTTTGTTATCTTTCTGTATGTTCTACATTATTTCAACCCTATTCGATAGAATTCTCCATTGTAAAACAAATATTTGAATTCTTCTAGATTCTTTTTTAAAGTCTTACTCTTATAGCCAAATAATAAACAAATGTTTTTTTTCAATAAATGTTAAAACCAAGTACATCAAAAAAGTTATGAATTTAAAATGTCTGTTGTGCATATGAATTTCAATTTAGTATCATAAGTTTTCGCAGATTCTTGTATAGCTTAGATAGTTGCTCTTGACACTCGATGTAACATTAACTTGTTGACTAAATTAAAGAGGCTTCAAAATACATTTAAAAACCAAAAATGTTTTATACACTTATATATGTAAGGACTTTTTACCAGTTTTATATGATGACTATCACATCTTCTTAGATCATAAAATAAGTGTAAGTACCTATCACTTCTAAGACAATTGTTCGCATTAGGTAACGATCTTAAGAAAAGCTTGAATTAAGAAATAATCTAATTACATAATTAGCTGTTGGTAGAACAATATTTGTAACTGTAAATGATTTATAAGAAATTGTGAATAGCTGGACCAATTTCTTACTGTTTATATATACATATAAAGATTTGTACATGGATATAAAACTTGCCCAACATATCATAGTTTTAGGATACGATAATATAGGTTATGGTAATATTACTATAAAAATAATACTTAAATATAATAATGATGTAATATATTTGTTTGAATGTAATGTCGTATGTTTTCAATTAAATAATTTTTATATAAATTTTGTTTTTCTCAAAGCAGCTCGAACGAACTGAACGAATCTCCACAAATGAATCTACAGAATACAGTTGAATCGGTGTAAATAAAAAAATTCTAAGTCGTTTTTTTTTTTTCATTTTTAACATTTTGATGGAAAAATTTTCTATGAACAAAAGCGCATTTTTTGGTACAAAAACATTCTAAGTCTCTACTCTCCATGCATGTTAAATAGAAAACTGAAATATATCATTGTACACTAAAAGATTCTATGTCAATGACTCAGAATGTGCTTGTGGGCAACACTATTAACATATGTGTTTGTACTGTATTAATGAATCCTGTATATTCTGTAAATCTCTAATAAAATTAAATAACCACATGTTTGATGATTGGTTTTGTGAGGTTAAAGTTGTATTTAGCATCATTTTATTGTATTCTTTTAAAAATTGAGATGAATAACGAACCAAGCAGTACCAGCGACGGAAGAAAAGTAAAAAATGAAGCTAAGTGGAAACGAAATATCGTGAGAAATGCTAGAGTCAAAGGTGAAGAGCACATTAATTACGAAGGTAGAGTTGTACCAGGTATCAGTTGGCCCTGATTGCAGGTAAGATACCTACGTTTTGCAGTCTATATAATAAACTAAGGTTTATTTTTTTTTCAGTTTTTTGCAGTTTTTTTTTTCAGTTTCCCGAAAACATGGTTTTCATGACTTAGAACGATTTAGTTTATCTAAAGTAATTATTAAAAGAAATGCCCATCAAGTTAGAATCTAATACATGCATCAAGATTTATTAAAATCGAACGACTAGATTAACTGTCTGCAAGTTTTATTCCTCAAAACCTTTAATCTTCGGATCTAGTCGGTCGATTTTAAGAAATAAAAAAATTAATATCAATAAAATATTTGGGACTGAAAAAAGTCAAAAAAATTTCAATTTTTGAAAAAATTTCAAAGTTCCGCCATTTTGTTTTTCTTAAGAAATTTCAGTTTTTGTGGTAAACTATCACCAAAGAATATATGTCTATATTCTTTGCTATCACTTCAGGGCATTTCTTTTTTAACTCTTCTCAAATTTTATATTTCGAATTTGCAGTTTCAGATATTAACTGTCGTGTTAATTGTCTTGTCTAATCTTGTTTTTGGTAATCTTAAAAACTTGTAGGTATAATATAGTAAAAAAAGTTTGATTGCCAAATATAATAGATAAGATACAAAAAAATTGTTGAAAATATGCCACTTTTAGCATTCTAGACGGTAACAGTACTTCAAATGTAATTATTTTAAACCAGTACATATTCAAAATTCTCCAGATTAGGAATAAGTATATTTAAATAACCGGTCCCGTAATAACCAAACTAGAGATAAAGCCACCTCTATATTATAAGGAAGTAGAGGTGGGTTTGCCGTAGGCTGTTATATTATACGTCATTGGCTGTGACTGTTGTGATATGTCAGCTGTCACTGCCACTGTCACTGTTAGAATTAATAATAAACAGATGCATAGAGGTTATATTATTTAATATATTTATTTACTTGAGTTAAATTGTTAAAAATGAGTAATAACAACAGTAATAATGCTTCATATTTGCCAGCGATGTTTTCTACGCCACCTCCAATGTTAAGCGTAAGTATTTAGTGTATTTACAATATTATCCTTAGGTTGTTATTCTTTCCATATTACCTTTCGTATAGAGAAAAGTACTTTTCTGTTTTATACAGTCGATATTATTACTCCTGATCGTGAATTATTTTACCTAAGAATCATATTCTTCAAGGAGGAACAAACACACAATTGAAGTGTATAAAAATAGGATCCACAAAATCAGTTTATACCTTTACTATAAAAAGTTACAAAACTATTTATTGCAGGACATATATGACAGTTCTGCATAAATGTGTTATTCTGTTAAACTGTAATAAACACATAATTTACAGGTTGCTAAATATAAAATTTCCGTCTGTTAGCTTGTATTTATCTTCCTATTGTGTTTTCTATTTTAAAAGTATTACTTTGTTTTTTAGTTGACAGTCAGTATCATACCTATTTTATATTGGTACAAATTAATATCTCTCAAGTTTTTGTTTTGACTTACTATCCCTATTATTATCAGAAAGCAACTATAGTTTACATTAGTGACTAATGATTAGTCATCTAATTTATAGCTAGATGACTAATGTAAACTGCCATTTTCTCCAAGTTGATTGTGTAATCAACACTATTGTATCACTGTTTACAGATCCTTTTTATGAAAATGAATAAATTTTATTATCCACAATTTGAAAGGCACATATTAAGTCTTTGTTTTTATTAAGAAAGTCACTCCATAGCTTTTGGTATTTTGAAATAATCGGCACAATTTAAAAGAAAAGTGATATCGTTCAAATGCTGTAACTATAGATGCTGTATATTCTAAATAAAATGTATAAAATATTCTCCAATATACTAAGCTATCATATGGTTGTGGCACTGTATACAAAAAATAATTGGAAAGTACCAGGTCACCTGGTAGTTTACAGGTGGTAAATTAACAATTCATCACATTTCTACCCTTAAACAATTTTTAGAAATAGCACTTGAGTATGTGTGGCATAGATATTCACTATATCTGTATTTATCAACGCAACAGCTTTTGACACCGGCTAGGAATACCAAATTGGTTAATAATGTTAACAAAAATAACCCTCTAAAAATTTGGGAGCAGTGTGTGGATCCAGGAGGAATTATCTGATTATTTAAAACCAACAATGGTTTACTCCAGGGTGACCCTTTCTCCTGTCTTCTTCTTTAGCTAGCATCTAGAGTAAGTAATATGTACATCAAAAATTACAACCATGGGTTCAATATATACTGCAAATTTTTGGCTAAGCTGATCTTATCTATCTTATCTTTGGTAAATAGAAAACAATGTACAGCTGTGATAACTGAATACACCATTGTACTTAATACTGAAAAATCACAGTGTTGTATGGATTAGATAAATGTCAAAGTGCTTGTTAAAAATTTGCATGAATTGAAAAATAACATAAAAAGCTATTAAATGCATCCAAATTGCCTAGAATGTATTTGAATGACAAGCAAAAAACAAGAGCAATTGCCAAACTTGAAGAAAGTTGGTTACTAAAGCAAGTTGCTTCAGATTTAAACATGTGCCATATGTGCAATTCAAACAAAGATGGTTCAGAGGCTGTTAAAGAGGCAGAAGATCTCCACGGAGCAAAAGATGAGGTGTTAGTATATTATATGAGAGAAGCTTCTTTTGTCACAGCTCAAAAAGCTAACAAAGAGACAGTGTTTCTGGGTAGCTGCAAGGAAACCTTTTTTGAATGAGGATCACAAGAGGAAATAAGGTAGTGAATTCATAAACCATGCTGTTGGTCTAAAGTTAGTGTTTCAATCATATAGCAATGGTCGAATTGTGTGGAATGGAGTTTATAAACCAATAAGTCATAGGTTTGATGAATGTTATACTCATCATTTAAGAAATGTGGACAATTCTTGGTCAACATGTGGGGATGCAGATAAGTGCTAAAGGACCAGGCATTTGTTATCATAATAATTGCCTGGTGCATACAACTAGAATTGTTCGAGAATTGTTGATAGAAACTCATGTTAATTTTATTCCGTGGCCTTCCTGGAATCCAGACCCATCTAAAATGTGTGATTAGAGTTGACAAAGAAATTAATTGAAATACATTTTAGGCCACGGAATAGACTTGAACTACCATGTAAAGCAATTGAGCAATCATGGGAGGAGATTGTTGAATATAACATGAGGAGATTGGTGCTATCTATGAACAGAAGATTGCAAAGTTGTATTGACAATTGTGGGGCTTCCACCAAATATTAATTGTGTTACTGTTTATAATTATTTAATATTTATTTATTTTATTTATCAATGGGCAATCACCCAATTAAAATACAATATAAACATTATTGATAAATTACAGTTGATTCTTAACATAACCTACTTAAATTAAATTTAAAAATTTTAATCATACAAAAAATAAAAGTTGGAACAGTAAATTAACAACATTAACAAAGAATGTACAAAACACAAGGATATCAAGCTATCACACACAGTTCTTAAGCTGAGCTTTAAATTCTTTTGGAATACTATAACAATCCAACATTTGGGAATATTGATTAGCAAACCTTGGTGTTCTAGATGTGAATGAATTGAGTCCGTAGTTTGTGTGATGGATTTGGAGAGAAGTTATGCTATCGTCGGATTTGGAGAGAAGTTATGTTGAGGGACCTTTCCATATTTAAATAGTTAATTTCTTCAATCCTCTGGTTTTGTTTAAATGCAACAAATCTTAAGAATTTCTGTTGAACTCTCTTAATAGTTTGAATATGGGTGTTATAGTGAGGAGTCCAAACACATGAACAGTAATCTAGGTGGGGTCTCACAAGTGAACAATACAAAATTTTTATGGATGGGATATTTAGAAAGTCTTTAGCACAACATTTGATAGACCCTAAAAGTTGAAGAGAACATATGGGATATGGGGGATGTAGGATAAGGTGGAATCGAGCACAACACCTAGGTCTTTTATCTGAGATACAGAGTCTAAAGGGCAACCATTGATAGTATAGATATGATTTGTAGGAGTCTTATTCCGACCAAAAACTATTAAATGACACTTTTTAACATTAAGTTCCATTCCGTTGCTGTCACACAATAGCTTAACCTATCCAAATCGGATTGTAGTTTTTGATAGTCGCCATCATTCTCAATTTTCAAATATAATTTTAAATTGTCAGCAAACATTAGAAAAGAAGCAAAGAGGAAACAGGAGGCAATGTCATTAACATGGTTATTGAATAGAAGAGGTCCTAGGTGTGATCCTTGTGGTACTCCTGAAAGTACCTTAATCTCAAATGATTGAAAACCCTGAACACTTACTATTTGTATTCTTTTAGTTAGGTAGGATAACAACCATTCTAAAAATTCACCCTGAATACGCAGACTCCTCAACTTATTGATTAAAACCTTGTGATTTACCTGGTCAAAAGCCTTTGTAAAGTCTGTGTATACAGCATGAACCTGGAAGCTATCTTTCAAGAGATTCTGTAATGAAATCAGTAAATGTCAATAAATCAAGTTCAGTGGAGCGGCTAGAGAGAAATCCAAATTGCTGGTCGATAAAACAGCCTTTTAAAGTTGATGACAGATAGTCACAGACAAGGCTCTCAAAAACTTTGGGAATACAACTTAGAATGCTAATAGGCCGATAATTGTTCACTTGATAATTATCTCCAGATTTTAATATTGGGGTAATAAGCTATTTTTCCAGTAGACCGGGAACATCCCTGTCTTTAATGACAGGTTAAAAATGTGAAAAAGAGGTCTAGAAAGTAAAAAGCTAAAGTGTTTAAGAAAAGAAGGTCGAAGACCATCTGGACCTGGCCCCTTGTTGCTATCCAAAGTTGAAAGTTTTTTGTATATAGACGAAATAGAAATTCTAAATTGTTATAGGTTGATGTTTCCTGTTAAACAAGTTTCATCCTGCAAATCAAACTCTTTATCACTATAAGTTTTGGAGAAGTATTCAGCAAATAAATTGACAATCTCCATTCGAAAAGAGCCACAAATATTAATATAGTGCATATCAGAAGGAATATTATTCCTGTTTTTTTTTACTGTTACCAAATTTTCAGAAATTTTTAATATAAAATAAATTTAAAATAAAATGGGTATTTTTAACGCAGACTTCCTTATTTTCTTTATTAAAACCATAATCTTATATAGACAGTAAGAATTTGTAAATCTATAGTAAAATTCATTAAGCGGTGCAGGAAAATATAAACATTAAATCGTGTCCGAACCGGTATGAACCGCCGATAACATCGCCATACGAAAAAAAGATGGACATTCCGGTTAGTTTTTAAATATTTTTGATGAACTGTTACTTGCATTTATGCATAAAATATTCATTAATTTTATAAATCGGAGTATTTTTTCACTTACTTTGTATTCAGTGATAACATTAATTTATTTACTATGCAATAAACACGAATAATTGAGAAAAGAAAAAAAAAATAATTATACTGTTACTTATCGGAACGAGTAGACTCATTTGTAACATCTTTAACAATTATCTGTTAAATTTATCATTGTTTATATGCCCTGCACCGCCTAATGGAATAAGGTATAGGAGCAATTACCATTGGCAATAACACTACAGCAGAGATTAATCACTGAATTTGTATGACCAACAGACGCTATTTTGGACTGAATTCCTTTTTCAAATCATCAAATAAATCAACAAATATAAAGATGAAGCTTTAGAAAACAAGACGTAGGTACAATTTTAAACTGTACAGAATATACCAGCAACCAGATATCTCAAACACATTATTTATGTCACATAATGCTCAATTATATTTTATCTAACAAAATAATAAACTTATTCTAATTTGTATGATATTCTATACTGATTTTATAACACCTGTAAATAAAACGAAGAAACACAATTTAGTGCCTATACAATCAATAAATTTGCAGTAATAGTGTTTAAAATAATTAAAATGACAATTTTTGGTATTAAACTATTAACTATGAATGTTCTTTTAGAATGCATCAAACTGGAATGGTTTTAAATATCCTCCTCAGCGTCAATCTCCTGGTTCCCCTAGATATAGAAACCCACTAATTATAAATGGTGAATCACCTCGTAACATTACTTCGTCTCCAAGTGAATATTCATCAACATCAAACAACACTTATATGAGTAGTAATGTAGCACAGGCACAAGTAAGTTTTTTAGAATTGCTAAATTTTTATATGAAGTTCCCAACTAGTGTTTTTTTTTTATTAAACTTATGGACAAAATTAATAGGGCGCAAAAAAAATAAATTGAATCGAAAACATATTCTAAAGGAACATTTTTGTCCCATCAAGGTACATATTGAATCATGTGATTTTTCTAATGTGTGATATATTCAATATTTAACACTACTACCTCTTGCTGTCAAAACTGCTTGCATTCCTCTGGCGATACTTTTTACTAGACAGCAATAAAACTTTGTGTAATTAGATTGATTTTTGTTCAAACTTATATTCAATTGAAATTTGACCTGGTAAATGCATTGGATTCTTCAAAGCCTCTATCTTGATCTCCTACAAACAGTTCACATGAGTTACAGATACTTAGGCTCCAATGCTGTAATGCATTGACAGAAAATCATCTTCTACATATGGTCCAAAGCCATTACAATATGTTCCAAGATATCTGTTACGTACCTCATAGTAAGGGGTCAGTTTTCTATGATTATTGCCTACAACAATGTTACACTGAACATACCTTTCTCATGGTTGTCTCCATATGTTGACTTACCTATCAGTTGGCTCGAATAAATACTGAGAGTGATTTGTAAACACTTCTTCTTCTTCGTCTAGCCATTCACGTCCACATCTGAACATAAGCCTCTTCAAGTCTTCCTTTCCACTGTTTACTGTTGTAAACACTACCTGATCAAAATAATCATCATTCACTTCTGACAGAGCTCTGCAGGCCAGGAGATGATGAAATAAAAGCTAGGTGTTGTCTGATAGCATGAGTTGAACTGCCCTTAGGTTTCATTCAGTCATGGTTACCTCATAAAATCAGCAACTATAACTAAATATGAACAACCTCCAATACGTTTTACTACTCTCAAAGTGAATTTTCAAATTACAACAATGCATTAATTATTGTAATTGTTTCTAAAAACAATACTTTTATTGAAGGTTGTGCTGAGCTGTCATTGATAATCGTTTGCTAAAGATGATGATGATGATGATTTTCAAAAAAGGGATGAAAATTAGAGGAAAGCTGGATGACCCAGCTACAAAAACGCTCCATCATAGAACCCGTCAGAGTAGACCTCGTCAGAGTAGACGAGGAAGACCCAAGACAAGGTTTCTTCCATAACATCGATAAAGACATGAGAAATATGGGAATACATGACTGGAGAGAAATTCACGATGGGTCTAGGACCCACGCAGGGTTGTAAAGCCAGAATGATGATGATTTCTTTGCAATTTTCTCCATCCAGCGTTTGTTAGCTTACTTGATCTGCGTTTCTACTAGTTTCTTCATTTGCTTATATTTTTATTTATTTGTATTTCTGTATTTTCGATTTTCTTCTAAGAGCTTTATAATTATCTGGTGTCATTCAGTCTTTTTCGGCACTTGGTTATTTTCTACCCACAAATGTTTCACCAGCGTTAAGTGCTGCCACCTTTATTTCATTCCAGGCACTATTACTATCTTTTTTTGATGCTTCTGTGTATGATGATGCAATTGATTCATGTATTTGTTGTTGCTATTCTTCACCCTCAAGCTTTATCAAATCTAGTCTCTGAATTTGACTTTTTTTCTTGTTTTCTCAGTTTAGTGTTAACTTTGGCAAGAAGTAAATTGTGGTTGGGGTCTGCATCAGCACTGGGATATGTTTTTACGCTTTCAATTCCATTTCTAAATCTTTTGTTAACAAGAATGTAATCAATTTGGTTTCTTATCAGATTATTTTGTCTCTTGGTGCACTTAATGTATAAAGTCTCCGTGGTGGTAATTGACAAACAAAAGGTGTTTGTGATGACTAGTTTTTTCACTTGACAATATTTCATTTCTTATTCCTAGACTATAATTCTCTACAATATCTTCTACTTTCCATCTACCGATTTTGGCGTTAAAGTCACCCATTGTTATGTTGACTTAACTTTTTTTATGTTTTTCGTTAGATGTAGATCTAAATAAAATACATTTGAATTATGTTTATTGTATGGGTTTTCATCTGTAATATTATTATTCTTTTATTATATGGAATAAAGTTAGAGATTTAAGGTTGCAGTGCTTTTTAATCATGTTTCCTACACCATTGTTTTAATCATCAATACTGCTACCCTAGTAATAAAGAATAATGTCGCTATAACATTGTCCAGCACTGGGCCATCTTATATTCATTTTAAAACTTATTCATCTCTGTTTTTACTAACTGTCTCTCTTTGAACAACTCTAAATCACAAAGTGTTAATTTTACGTTAAGAAATAAGACTGGTGTTGGAAGTTTCTGGGGATACATTTGGATGCAGGATTAACCTGGGAACAACATATAGTTAATTTATCAAAAAGCTTATCCAACAACTTCAGGAACCTTGTACAAGTGACATCCAGGGAGACTATTTGAACAGCTTATCATAGTACTTTCCATTCTCATCTGACATATACTATTCTCTCCTGGGGCCACTCTTGTCATATTGATAAAGTGTTTGAACAACATAGAAAGTGTGTCAGTATTATCTCTGGACTCTATCATAGAGCATACTGTAGAAACTCCTTTAGAACTTTTAAAATTTTAACTGTATCTTGTGTACTTTATATTATGCAGTTTATGTTGCACTTTAAACAAAATCTTAGCCAATACAATGCACATGTAGATTTTCACAATTATCCCACCAGATACAACAATAATCTTATACCAGAATTTGGCCGATTTGAGAGATCCAGAAGTGGTTTAAGGTTAGCCATAAAATTCTACCACTTAGAGCCAGCTAGAATAAAAGTTCTTAATTTTTGTCAGTTTAAGGTAAAAATTAAGAGTTACCTTGTACTGAATGCCTTTTATACACGTGAGGAGTATTTTATGTTTATATTTATGTGTATATTGACTATATTGACAAATATTTTTTTTATCTTGTCAAAAATACCTTTGTATTAATTTCTTACCAATAAACCATCTATCTATCATTTTGTTCTTCCTCCCTGAGATTCTTTACACCTCTGTCTCATTTAAGAAATGTCAGGCACTTACTTACTTACTTTATCGTGTCCGGACATGTCATTCATAAAATTTCGGCCCAGTATCGGGCTACGTCGGTTCCATCTTTGATGGCGAGCCACAAATCTTCAAGGGTATATCGATGAGGACAGTTTCTGCATGTAAGAAGATGTTCCATATTCTGTGTTTCTCCACAGTCACAGTTCACATCATCTTGGTTTATTTTTCCCCATTTTGCCATGTTTGATTTTACTATAGCAACCCCCGTTCTTAACCTATTCAAGGTTTTCCACGTTTTAAAGTCTAGGGTCTGGCCGGTCCATTGAACCTGGGGAAGTGGAAAATTCTCAGGCGGTTCATCCTGCACGGTTCCAAGGAAGCTTTTCCTAGATTTTAGTCGCTTTCGTGGTGTTCGAGCTTTGTATAGGGCATGCCGATCATCCGCGATCTGTTTAATTTTCTCTATGTGTTCTGCAGCGCCTCTGCGTGTTGAGTGTTCTGCAAAACCCGCTGTTCTATATAGATTTGAAAGTGGCGTTGGTTTCATGCACCCCGTTACTATCCTGCATGTTTCATTTAGCGCAGTATCAACTTGTTTGGTGTGGGCAGATCTGCTCCAAACGGGGCATGCATATTCAGCAGTTGAGAAACACAGTGCCTGTGCCGTTGTTCTTAAAACGCCAGGACGTGCGCCCCATTTACTTCCCGTTAGCTTTATGAGTATGCTGTTCCTAGTTGTTACTTTCCCTCTTGTTTTTATGCAATGTTGTCTGTAGGTGAGGGACCGGTCCAGAGTTACTCAAAGATATATAGGTTGGTTTGTGTGTTCTAAAGTATTACCATTCCACACAATTTGGAGTTTTCGCTTGTCAGGCACTTGAAGCCGTTTTGTTTTGATACTCTATTAGTGATTTTCTTGAGATATCCTTAGCGATCTTTAATTCAGTACTCTTTGCCTTCTGCATCCTTATGACGTTGACCATTCATGGTTCATCCGTTTTTGAGACCCCTCTACAATCTCAGAAGTCCACCTTCCACTTACCAGTTTATCCACCTGAAGCCGTTGACCAGTAAGCTCTCTTCCCTGTCTGCCCCGAGGATAAATATATGTACTAAATATAAAATCATTTCTAGGGCCCTCCGATATTTGATTTACCGCCACCTCCACCAGTAAATACTAGCACAGCTTATGCAATGAATACTTCAATGCAATCTCTTGCATCTAACAGTTTTGAAGGAAATGCAAATTATCAATTAATGTACAGGTAAGACATATGTAGGTGTTTATTTAATTTTATCGCATATATACGAATAAAAACTGTTGTTATGCATACAAGGATTCTGTAGTATAATTTTTTGGAAACACGTTTAATAATTTACTTCGATATCTGGACAAAATTAACGCATGACTTTTGACCTTTATCGTTACTATTTTTGATTAGATTTTTGCAGTAGTAGTTTGAAAATAATATAGGACGTTTTATTAAGAATGTGACATATGATAACTGAACATCCTCTACTTTTAATAATACGATTAACAAAAACTGCTTTGATAAAGTGATGCTTATTTTCAAAAAGTTATTATTGACTATATTTTTATTAATCGGTAAAATTTTTGTTTACTGGATAATATTTTTTTTACTAGATACACCGGTTAGTAACAAAATTTGTTAATTTTAATTGACTAAGAATGGATTTGAAAAAAAAACTAAATGCATGATCATGACTAAATCAGCAGATGCAAACATCCAATTGATTGTGGAGGTTACTGTAATTGAGAGTGTGGATACCTAAGAACATGTATAATATAAAATGTAGACCAAACCAACGAAATTAAGACACATATTGAAATAGCCCGTGCATCATTCGTTTCATTCAATTCATTAATATTTTAAAGCTATTAGAGGTACACCTAATCACAGCTCTTACGAAACTATTCAACAACATCTACGAGACTGGTTACTTACCAAAAGATTGGCTACTAGCAATATTCATTCCACTTCCTAAAAAAGCCAACGCTAGAAAATGTGAAGAACATAGATTAATTATTTAACATTTAACTTCATGTTTCCTCACTAGAGGCCTCTAGTAGCATACTCTGGTAATTATTTTTAATATAATTGCCTTAGTAGTCGGTGCGTTTGGATTTGGTTTGAGTCTTCTTACAAACTCCTTCTGATGACGAGTAGACCCAGAAACACGTGTCAGGGAGTGGTAAGAGACTCAAATTAAATCGAAACGCAACCGTCATTTATTTTATAGATTAATTAGTTTGATGAGCCATGTACTTAAAGTACTCCTTACTATCATTCTCTTGCGCATATTATACACCAAATTAGAAGAACACCTGAGTGAAATTTAATTTGGATTCAGAGCAGGAGTCGGAACGAGGGAAGCACTTTTTAGTTTGTAAGTTCTAATACAGAGAGCCAGGGATGTCGACTACGATGTGTATGCATGTTTCATTAATTTCGAAAAGGCCTTTGATCCCATTTTAATTGAAAGTTTCATTGATTTCGAGAAGTCCCACATGGTAAACTAATCGATATCCTAAAAACATCAGGAGTCGATGGTAAAGATATAAGACTGATCTCAAACTTATATCTCCAAGAAAAAGCAACAGTACGATTAGAAAATCAACGTCCGAGATTTTCACAGTCGAAAAATAAGTTAGACAGCGTTGTATCTTGTCACCGGCATTATTTAACATATACTTTGAAAACATATTTAAAGAGACCTTTTACGAATCAGAAGATGGGATTGCTATAAATGGCCAAGTTATAAACAACATTAAATGTGCAGACGATACAGTGTTGTTGACAGATAGTGCGTAGGGGCTCCAAAGGATGATGGATAACGTTGTAGAAGCATTAAATTGCAAGAAGACAAAAATAATGATGATTAGTAAGAACTCCTGCATAAATGCCCAAATTACAATTAACGATACACCGTTAGAAAGAGTAGAAAAAGTATGCTATTTGGGCTGCAATATTAAGGATACTTGGAATGGCAGCTACGAAATAAAAACTCGTATTGAAAAAGCCAGAAGCTATTTCAACAGCCTTAGGAAGATTATCTGGAACTTATTTTTAAGTATTAGTATACGCATAAGAATTCTTAGATGTTACATCTTTAGTATCCTCCTCTATGGAGTAGAAAGCTGGAGCATTACAGAAGATGCCATAAAACGATTGGAGGCATTTGAAATGTGGTGCTATCGACGTATGTTGAGGGTCACATATATAGACCACGCAAGTAACATAACTATTCTCCAGAGGCTAAGAAAAGAGAAAGAAATTATTAACAGTTGATTCTACAGGACAAGATTGAGGGTAAGAAAGGCCCTAGACGTAGACGTATATCCGAGCTGCTGCTGTGAATAGAATAAGATGGGTCAATGTGGTCGCTAACATCTCTAGAAGATAGGCACATTTAGAAGAAGTGAACAGAGTGCGGATAGTCATGATGATTTCCAACCTGCGATAGATAATGGAACTTAACGTAGAATAATGGACCAAACGAAGTATATATATTTCCCCAGCAACGAATAATTTAAAAAAGCATATAAACGCCGAATGGCTGCTCATAAAACTCCGAGGCAACCTCTTCCTGTTGAATGGAAGATTATTCCTAAAGCCACCATCTATTATCTATGAGAATTAGTATTATGTCTAGACTAATAGAAACACCTCTAAAGGCAAAGAGAGGCGACAACCAATTATTATTTTATGATTTTATAATCAGTTTAATTTTTTAAGATGAAGATCTAATTTTTGAATATTTTCTTTCTCTACAAGTTTATCGTTACTTTTAATTTTTATTAAATTATCATTGTATCATTTCGATAATTTGTTAAGAGTTTAATTTTGTTACTTAATATAAGTGATGCGCTCATTTTGCTAAAAGTGTAATGAAACTTAACCGCTCTATTTTTTTTAGATATGCAAATCCAGCACAATTTCAATATGCTATGAATTCTGCCCATTCAAATCCATATCAGTTAGGTCCATCCATTCCATTCACTTCCTCACAACCTCCTTTACCCCCAGTTCCTCCTCCTGAAAATCCTCCCCCTCCACCTCCCCCTTCTAGTATGGCGCAGTCTCATCAAGCTTTGCTACAAAATTCTCATTATGCCAATTTCCATAATAGAATTCAGTTTAGCCCAATGTTTGGCTATCAAAAGCAAAATATGTATAAAAGGAGATATGATGGTATGTATAACATCGCTATAGTTAGTGTGTAAATTTTTCTTAATCAGTGAACGTCTAAAATCGATCTCTCTAATTATTTTGTGAACCATATTACTTAAATTGATAAATTTATTGACCAAACTACGAAATATGGACGTTATTTTTATATTTTTGTGACATTTTTTACCAGCGCAATTTTGTAAAATTATTTTTAAAAGGGATCATACGGCAAGTAATACCTTATTTTAAAGTTTTTATGCCACTTTAAAGTCTGGACGGAAATTAAATAATATGAGTGTCTGTAGTTTTTATAGAAAATGCTTGAGATCAATTTACTTTTCCACTTTCTCATATTTTGATCTAATTCACTTGTGTTTTATATTCGCCTGTTTTTCTTAAATTGTAATATACGGCATCATTTGAAAGCTCTCCGAAATAAATCCAGATTTAGCCATACGACTCACATTTCCTCTAAGGGGCACATTCACTAATTCCAGATACCTAGGGTATCAAAAGAATTGAGCTGTGGTGGGACTCTTTTTGTGTTATCGAGCCCTAGGTGACTTGGTAAGCTGGAGTATCTCCCAAAAATTTTCGTACACATCTGGACGTCTCGAGGAGTACAGCTTTCTGCATGGGCTTATAGAGATTTTCAAGCTGTTTTATGTTCCCTAAGAGGTTTTTGGGAATAACGCCAGTAGTAGATAGAATAATAGGTACTTTCCATTATCCATTGTCTCTTGATTTGTATTTCTAGATCTCTGTACTTGGCGATCTTTTCGTTGTTTTTAACACGCAAATCATTGGTGCTAGGTATCGCCCACGTAGGTGATTTGTGGTATCGCCACATCAATAAGTGTTATTTGCCTAGTAGTTTATTAAATATAAGTTTATTAACTAGTATAGATCCGGTCTATTATGTGCCACTGGTTGATCTGTGAGCACAGTGCGGTCGCAGTATAGTTTGTAGTTGTCATTTTCAAGCATTCTGTAAGGGACATATTGATAATAAGGAAGATGATCGGTTTGAAGAAGTCCTAGTTTTTCAGCTAGTTCTTGGTGGATAATCTTTCATACTGAGTTAGGGCGTTCTTTATAATCAGTACCGACAACACCTGACAGCCTCCGGTAAGATGTTGAACGGTTTCTTTTGATTGGTATTCATATCGGCATTTATCATTTGATAAATTTATGATTTGATTTATCATTTGATAAATGCCGGATTTGAGAAAGTTTCTACAGTTTTTAGCATCTGATTTAGGTGGTTTCGAGTGAAGCTATTAATTTCAAATCATCCATGTACAACAGATGATGAAGCTTCGCCACAAGAGTATTGTTATTTTTGATGCTAAAACCTGAGTCAGTAGAGTTCAGTAGCTGAGATAGTGGGTTCATCGCTAGACAGAACCAAAGTGGATTCAACGAGTCCCCCTGGAAAATGCCCCGGTTAATTGGGATATCTTCAGTTTCAGAATGTGACAAATTTGTACAAAGTTCGAAGACAAGTGATTTGGCTTGGCTGGATCTTGGGTGTTATTTTGATCCTTTGGTATTACATAAGTGGTTCCCTGTGTAAGAAATGATGGTATTTCCTGCGGATTAGAGATAACATGATTAATAAATACTGACAAACACTCATGAACACTCCAAAACTTGTTTAACCAGAAGTTCTGAACTCCGTCTGATCCAGGAGATTTCCAGTTATGAAGCTCTTTGATAGTATTCGAGACTTCTTCAATGGTGAATAGTTCGTAAGGAATATTGTAACGTTGACAGGTGTCCGTTGTGTCTTTAATCCATCTAGTATTGGTGTTATGAGTAGCTGGGGTTGAAAGTTGATTTCCCCAGAACTCATGAATTTCTTCTAGTCTTGGGTATGATTTATTTTTATTTTCTATAGCTGAATTAAGTTTCCTATAAAACGCCTTCTCTGAATGCTCAAAAAGTAAAATACGCTTATAGCGTTTAAAGGGATCTGGCAATGCCCATTTATGTGTCATCTTTATGATCCCGTGGAACGATGCGTGGATCCCGATCCTGCAGGCTTTATATTTTTCATAGTATCCCTAAATACGTTTATTTTCAACTGAAATAGATCAGTAGACAAATAAAATTTCAATAATCTTATCTCTTTGATATTGGTATTTCTGAATTTGAAACATGAATTATTGTGAATTATTGTATTGAATATTTTAGGCGATGGTAAGAAACTGGCAAAGAAAAAGAAGAAACCATTATCACAAGTGGTACCTCAAAAAAGGGACTGGTCCCTAGCTGAGGCTAGAAAGGCTTTAGAAGTAGAAAAAGAATGTAACAAAAACAGTAAACGGCAGGGATTGATAATAAAATTCCCAGATATAGAACTGAATAGAGATATCGTCTCAAATTTCCATAGCAGTATTGATTCTGTTCATTTTCAACAGCCTTCGACACCAAGATACTGTTTCATTACGTTGAGGGTAAGATCATTACATAACTTATTTTTCGTCATAACGTAATCGATAAAAAAATGGTTTTAGTCATATCTAATTGTGATATCTAAAAGGCGTAAGAGAAAAACTTTACGATTTCAAGCTCTTTACAATGTAAACTTATACGACCACGTTAAATAGGCGAATGGTTTACCCCTATAATCACAGCATAAACCAAAAATTTTTATTTCTCAACAAAAATTTTTTTTTGTTGAGAACAAAATTTAAACAAAAGTTTAAATGTATTTTTTGTAATTTTTCTGAGTGAGCCGGAAATTGTTATTAACAAATAACACAACAAAAAAACAATCCTGAATGGCTTCGAGCAAATTTTTTTAGGCGGGAGTCATGGAAATAAATACTTTTTTATCTTGGTAATTTTTTCAAAAATGCTCCCTTTTACAGTATCTTCTAGAATATTTTGACAAAGTAAATAAATTCTATCTTGCTGAAACATGGAACCAAATATTTCGAATATACACTTTGAGCAATATATCGCTAAGCGTGTACGATTGCAGTGATACAGTCATGTGGCACATAGAAATCTTTGTTTAAATTTAAAACTATGTTTTTAACAAGATAGAAACCACTTATCATTGTCAAAATATTCTTACTTGTACGTAAAAGTTTAAATATTATAAAACTTTTTATAGAATTGCAATTCACTTAGTAGTATTTAAGAAAAAAATCCCAAAAATCAATAATTATCGAATTATCTATTTAACTATGCTCGAGAGTTGCAAGAGTTTTAAATTATTCCCTAATAAAATAATTAACTGGCTTTCAGAAATTCTTATCTCAGTGCTCTTGACTATTTTCTGTGGGAGTCTGAACGGTAAATATCGAAGAACTAAATTACCTATATGGCACAATTAAAGTACAATATATCAGAAATGACGGCAATCTTGCAAATAATGTATTAACAGAGATGTGTCTGTTAAAAAACATGGTCTTTAATCATGAATTATCGACAGAATCGCCATCGTGGAAATTCAGTTTCTGTCCTGCATCCATTCGTCTAATAATTTTCTCCTGTTTCTGCATTGAGGGCTACTTCAACTTTATCTCCTTCACTCCGTCTTCCCTCCTTATTCCCCCTCTCTCCCTTTCCCATCTACACCTTTCACTTCCCACAGTTCGCTATCCTACCATATTTTTTTCTCTCTTCGTTTTTACCTCTCAGTGAATTGTGTCATACAATTATTACTTATTTTTACAACAAATTTTAAAAATTTTATGATGTATTATGTCCATAATTGTATATTTTAATGTGTGGTATAAATGTTGAGTGTTCAATGCTTACAAAAATAATCTCAACGACTAGTAAGTTACACTGAAGAATTGTGATATTTTTTAAATATTTACATAATTGTCTTTTACAGTGTCTTGAAAAAGGAATAAAAACATTCCGAAAGCTCGACAAAAAGTCAAAAGAGTGTTTTTTTTTTTAACATCCCGGCCAATATTCTGACTGCAACCCTAATAAACTGTGTTGTTTGTTTATATCGACAGTCAATAATATCCAGTATTTCTTATATATATATATATATATATATATATATATATATATATATATATATATATATATATATATATATATATATATATTGTATTGTATGAAACTACCTCACTCGACATACTTGTTTTGGATATTTTGTCCAATTTAGAACTTTAATTTTAACATAATCATAACCTAGAAATAAATAGCTCAATAATATTCCTAATATCCATTTAGAAATTTTATGTATATGCAATTTTATATAAAATTTGTTTAACACCTTCTGTTCTAGGGTTGATAGCTCCAGAATATCAACATACGAAAACTATAGTCTTCCACAAAAAATGTATCTAAAATGTCATCAAAGTTGATTCTAAAATAAAACAAAGCTAATTTATTACAACAAAACGAGATATAAGTGATCAAATATTGATATGATTGCAGATATCTAAACCTGATGAAAACCCAATGAAAAAAGTAATACCAAGACTCATGTATGAATACCAACTATCAAGGGCGATAAAATATAGCCTATAATAAAACAAAACCGTCTATATTTCAAAGGAAACTTGCGATTGCTCAACTTTGTATATATAAACTGAGGTAAAGAAGAAATCTGGTGGAACGGTAGCCAGATTATGGATATATATATATATATATATATATATATATATATATATATATATATATATATATATATATAAAGATAACTTTGATTCTTAAGGAAGTCTATCAACAGCATATACCTTTTGTTAATTCTAATGTTGAAACTTCAAACTAGTTACAAGTATTGCCACATAACATTTGATATCGTACACAGATGAAGAAATTTCAGATCTGACATCTGAAAAGATCGTCCGAAATCCACTGCGGTTCCAAAAAACATTGATGCTATGCTTGGACCAATCGTATAAGGTCTTCTTATAACTTACAGTGGGTTGATGGCATGTTGCAGGTATTTAATTCTGTATGAGCATCTGAAACCAAAAAGATTGTTTTAAGTTGGATACTATATAATAGCAACTCAAAAAGATTTGTGTCGAATATTCAAAAGGTGTTCAATAGTGTATTGAGCCTTAAACTGAACAGTGACTTCATTAAAACTATATACACTTCTACATAGGTATACCCTATCCGAAAACTCTTTATTCTGTCTCGACTAAATCTAAATTCTTTTTCTTTTGGTGCCTATTCATTTCGAATATTGACGATCATTCTGGCTATAATTATTTTATTAACTGAATCTTTAAATAGATTAGTTGTTGTTGTGGAGAACCATTTCCTCGGATTTTTTTTAACCATGATATTCTTTGTTTCCCCAATTCATCGCTTTCCGAATACTTTCTCTTGAAGGATTATTTTCAGTAATCTGTATTTAGTGCGGTTTCCCATTATGTGTCCGAGATATTCTAACTTTATCCTTTTAATCTTATACATCACTTCGCTTTCTTTCCCCATTCTTCGTATTACAGCCTCGTTGGTTATCAAGGTCCGTCCATGATAAACTTAGGATTCTTCTGTATAACCACATCTCGAAGGCTTCAAGTTTTGTCTCCATCGCTTCAGTGAGTGTCCAGGATTCAACTCCATAGTATGATATCGATATGATATAACACCGTAGGAACCTTACTTTTATATCCAGATTAAGGTTGTGGCTTTTAAAGAGTTTGACCATGTTGTTGAATGCACTCCTTGCCTTCTCTATTCTACATTTTACTTCTTGTGAGTGTTAGTCTAAATTGCTTTCAACTAAATTGGTTATAACACGCCTTTAGAAGTGTTTAAAACGTTTGAAGAGTTTAAAACAAACTGCTATTGTTTCCTAAGACTGAGAATAGATATATTGTTAAATAATTTGAAACGAAATCTGCAAATCAAAAAGAAGAAATAAATAATTTAGTACACAATTAAAGAATTCAGCGTGAGTTTTATGCCTAATACAATATATAAGGCGTAAGGGATGATTGCTGAACAAAATATTCCTTCAAATAAGAGCTCTTCTCACTCAATCGAGTCCATATGAATCAAGACAAATGAAGACATTAACACGCCAAAACTGAGGAAAGGAAGCAGAAAACGAGGTCTATGCTCTGCGATGGTGCTGGATGATGATGACATTGGTAAAGAAAATGCTATTGAAGTATTGAAGTTTAAAGCGTGAAATATTGTATAAACAAAGCATTTGACGCTATGTGATCATGATCGATTGTGTAGAGGTTTCCATTGTGTACACAATTTGTATCTATATAAATAATATTAACGTTATATGGTTATATATTCTGCAAATATGTATGAAATTTTTCTGCTTTTCATTTTAATTTACTTTTAAAAATGCTCATTAGCTTGTCTTTTTTAATTTCATTACAATGTACTCTTAAAGGCAACAGTGTGACACTACCAAAAATAATGCTCATTTTCATAGTTGGATTTTTTTGTGAACGGAATAATGTATTCCGCATTTTTTTTTAATTTCAGATTTATTCTTTTGTATTTACACTGTTAAACACAGGTTTCCTCTAACTTTTTTTTTGGGCTTGTACCGAGTGGAAGAAAGGAAATGTTTTTCTTGTGGTAAGTTGTATGTATGGAGGATAAACATAGAAGTCATGTTGTAGTATCGTGTTTTGTGAACATTTTTTATTTAATTTTCCAGATCACGAGTTTATTAATAAAGCGTTAATAAAGAATTAATATATAATTCTTAATCGTTTTTCAGTCCTGGATGTTCCACTTCACATGTTCTTTAGCAGATTGTAGTCTATTTCTGCGATAATTTGCATCTTCTGACAATCTCTAGGAGACTGAATATGGTGAACTGCTGCGAGCTGCATTAAAATACTCCTAGATGTAGAGAAACGTTCCCTTAACGCACGGAGTCTAATGTATAGATCTTGAATTGCTGTAGTCATTAGATGTTTACCTTGTCGTGGTTGTAAGGAATAATTATCAGTTTTCCTGAAGCGTCTGACAACATAAAAATGGTTGAATACGCAAATCCCATTCTCAAACCAATCGCAGGATAGCTTTATCCCTCATTATGTAATGTTACCGCTTGAACACATTCATCGCGAGTCATATTTCTTCTAACCTGTTCCATATGGTACATAAACAAACATAAAATAAGATAATTCCCGTGGATAATTCTCAAATGACCGAACTTTCACAAAACTGACATGATGGTTAATCGGCGTGGCTTTCGTTTAGAGATGGGAATTTCGAGATCTTTGAAATTCGGGTTACTTAACTTATCCGGATCACTTTGACAGTTCACGTGTTTATCGGGTCAGCAGCGATCAGATGATTCGGCTCTTTGACTTGAGTCAGTTCTAAATTGCCCATCCCTACTGTAATTTACTTTTCGTTGGAAATAAACAATTGCTATGAGGAGCATGTTAAAGAATAAAACCCTTTATTTTATTTGGTTTTAAATATATCACGGAAATTAAGCAAAGAAAATGTTTACAAAACATGAGACTAGAACATGATTTTGATGTATACTTTTTTACCTTGTTCCCTCTACAGAGTGTCTCAAACTTTAGGAACCCAACAATACCTCTGTGAGTGACAGATGTGTATTTTCCTTCTTCTTTTTAGAGATGTAAAAAAGAGTGTCAAACTTAACTTAAAAACCATTTTTTCTTCTACCCGATATATCCCTAAAAAGAAGTTTGAGTAAACATTTGCCCAACAGTGTAAATACCAAAGACAATTTAAAATAAAACAAAGTTAGCGAAATTCGTCAATCCGTTCACGAGAAAATCATCTATAAAGATGAGCATAATTTTTTGCGGGGCAAAACTTTTTCGTTTTGTATGTTTAAATTATTTGGTTTATTATCCCTTTTTTTTTATTATGTACTTCGGTTTTTTGTTCCTTTCATCATTTCTTTCTGGTCTTTCTGCTTGTATGGATGATGAAAAAATTTCTTTACTGTAAGTTATATAAACTGACCTGATCGGTTAAACTGTGATGAAGTACCTACATTTATTCAGATATATTGTAACGTTTAAAACAGTGTACGGGGCAGAAAAGAGTAATAATGATACTAATTATTTTAGTATTAAAAGAGGAGTTAGCCAGGAATATTTAGCCATTGGAAAAGCTCAGATATCAAAATATGCTATTTTATTATATCGCATAGTAATGCGTTAAGAGGACAGGCTTTACAATGCTTTTTTTTTTGTTGAAAAAAACATAGTGTGATAGGAGGTTATTTCTTCTATATACTTGCCAGAAAAACATCAGCTAAAAAATACTTCCGTCTAGAGCAAAATGGGAGTGCTAAAAAGGATCGTTCGCGACCGGAAAAAATCTGGATCCGAAGGATCGATACAGGATTCATGATCGATATCATAGTTATCTGACGTTAACGATCACCATTACGAAGGCTTCTCGATCCTCTGCCACATGAAATAATTGTCCTCCATTTGATATCTGGGTCCATTCACGAATGTTTTTTAACCAAGAAACATTTTTTCATCCTCTTCTCTATATAGAGCTTACACGAAAGCGACTGAAATCCAGGAGAAGCTTCGTTGGAATAGTGCCTTCCGAATATTTTCTCCTTCCCCAGGTTCAATGGACCAGCCAATCTCTAGACTTTAAAAAACATGGAAAACTATCAATATGTTGAATATAAACGGGGGCCGCTTCAATTAAATCAAACTTGGCAAAATGGGGGAAAATAAACCAAGATGGGGAAAATAAAACTGTTACTGTGGGAAATACAAGATGTGGAGCATCTTCCTACATGTAGAAACTGTCCCCATCGGTGTACCCTCAAATAGTTTTGTCTGTCTAGGTGGAAAGTCAGAGGTATTACCAGAAATAACTGAAGATGAAATCGAAAAATCCATAAACGACATGAAAAGAAATAAAGCGGCCGTTGAGGACAAAATACTGGCGGAACTGCTAAAAGAAGGAGGAGACACGATAAAAAAAATGCTAAAAATACTGTTCAACAAATGTCTGTTTGAAGGTAAAATACCTAAACAATGGAGAAATGCCAACACAATACATAAGAAAGGAGACCGAACAGACCTAAACAACTACCGTCCTATTTCCCTTTTGTCACAACTATATAAAACCTTCACAAGAATAATAAACAACCGACTAACCTATAAACTTGATAACTACCAACCAGTGGAACAGGCCGGATTCAGGAAAGGATACAGCACAATCGACCATCTACATGCGCTTAAAATCTTAATTGAGAAAACCAATGAATACAACCTTCCGCTGTACTTAGCATTCGTAGATTATGAAAAGGCTTTCGACAGCATTGAATACTGGGCGGTTGAAGAAGCTCTGGTCAACAGTAGAATAGATTCAAGATACCGACAATTAATACATGATATTTACCAAAACGCAACCATGACCGTAATTCTGGACGACAAATTAATAACGGATAATATAAAAGTTAAACGAGGAGTCCGACTAGGCGATATAATTTCACCTAAACTGTTTACCTTGACCCTCGAAGACATAATAAAATCAACAGATTGGGAAACAGAGGAATATGTATTAAAGGAAAATACCTAAATCACCTTAGATATGCGGATGATATACTCTTGATCTCCTCGAAACGACAAGAACTGGAATTAATGCTGAATGAACTTATGAAAAATCACTGCAAAAAGGCCTAAAAATTAACTTCAACAAAACAAAAGTAATGACAAACACGGAAGACCAAGAGGAAATAAAAATAAAAACAGAAAATATAGAACAGGTAAATGAGTATATCAATCTAGGACAAGCAATCAGACCTAATAGAGAAAATCAAACAGCCGAAATATCGAGACGAGTAAGAATGGGATGGGCAGCGTTCGGCAAACTTTCTTACGTTCTAAAAAATCAAACAATCCCTCTATACTTACGAAGCAAGGTATATAACTCCTGTATCATACCGGTGCTTACCTACGGAGCACAGACATGGACATTTACACAGGGCAATTTGGATAGGATAAGGAAGGCACAAAGAGCGATGGAGAGACAAATGTTGGGTGTATCACTTAGAGATAGAAAACGTAACCAGTGGATCATAACCAGAACAAAGACAGTAGACGCGATAGAACAAGCAGCAAAACTGAAATGGAAATGGGCTGGACACAATGAACGTCTCCAAGACGGACGATGGAACAATGCCATCGGAAGGTGGCGTCCATACAATGCAAAGAGATCAAGAGGCAGACCACAGATGAGGTGGAAAGATGACATCAGGAAACAAGGAGGTCCCACATGGCAGAGAACAGCTCAAGATAGGGAAAGATGGAGAGAACTGGGCGAGACCTATATCCAACAATGGAAGGATAGAGAATAGGGTCAAAAAAAAACAAAAACATATGGAATGTCAAAGAAAGAAACACTGTATATCAGGGATTCAAAACCAACCAAGATCATTTATAGTAATAAGTCTTTCAAAAAACAACTTTTGGATCTATTTGATCCCTCCGTTTTGATTTATCATCCATTCCTATGCTTTTTTATTACTACAGCATTTTTTTATTTGACTGCTGACTATTTGAATAGATATTTATTTTTGTAACAATATAATTAATTGAGAAATCTTCGAGTTTCAATATTTTATTTATTTTGGTTTTGGTTCATCTGCACTCATATCATTTCCACATAAAATCTTAATACCATTACAATCTTTATTAATATATTTATTATGTCTAGTTTGTCAATGAATGTCATATTTATAAAGAATTATTTATTGGATAATATTTTTGTTAATGTGTATTTATGGTGTTTTTATTTTTTTTTATAGGAATCCGCGGATCCAGAGACAGTAATTAGACAGTTGAATCAAATACCATTCGGTTTAGGGTATTTGACAGCAGAGTTTAAAAAAGACAGAGAAGATGAACAAAACCTGCAACCATCCGACATAGATCCCTTAACTCTATATGTCGGTAACTTAGCACAGGAAATCACGAAAGAGGATATAATCAAGACTTACCCGAAACAAAAAAGAATAGACATAGGGTACGCTAAGAAGATGAAATATACAAGATACGCTTTTGTATCTTTTTACAATGTCGATGATGCCGTAGAAGCATTTCAAAATACCCATTCAGCACAGTTGTACTCAAAGAGTCTTATTGTTAGGTATGTATTATATAACTATATTTATAGAACTTTGAGTGAACAATAGTTAAAGATAATTCATAATGTCCTGGACCTGACGTAATCATTTAGTGACGTCGCGTCGATCTACGAACGAAACAACGAAACGAAATCAGGCATTGCTAAAAACATGCAGTTCTCTTCAGTGCGTTATCGTAGCTAGACAGAGACGAACTAGTTTTTGCGTTAGTAAAATAGCTTTTTATATTTTTATTTTATAACTTACAAACAATCTAAAACTGAAAAAAAATACGAAAAGTGGCTTAAAGACACACAATTATTTTTGAATTCACCAAAAATCTATCAGTTTCTGATACTTTAGTTTGGGCTTATTTGATTTTAAAATGTTGATTTTAGTTGTTTGAGGGCCTTATCCTAACCTAAAAATGGATTTATATAAAACTGTTTAATAAATTAAGAACCACTTTTGGTATGAGTGACCTCTTGAACAATTCTGCGGTCTTTTATAAAAGTGATTATGCAAAAAATCTCATGCGGATATTTTTCCCAAGGAATTCGAGGTTTTCGTCTCGTATAAACATGTTTTGCTGAACTTAAAACCAAAACCCTATTATTTTTCTATGATATATTAACTTGTTATTTATTTATTTGTCCTCTAGATTTTTTCAGTTCTTAAAAGGTTTATTTACAAGCCAAATTAATGCAATGTAAATATTTTACATTTTTACACAGCAATTCTTATCGGCAGCGTAGAAGGGAAGTAGTAAATTTTTATTACATCTTTCAATGTGAGATAAAATAAAAATGCGATGACTAATTGGAATGTTTAAGATTAGAGAAACATAATATGTCATGTTTATGGGAAATATTCGACATTTTGAAACATTTTTACACGAGATTTTGAAACATTTTTACATTAAATTTACTGTTTGTTGACCTTGTTTAAAATAAAAAAGTAAAGGTGGAGTGGACCCACCTTGCTTAAACGTTTCGGCAATTTGCTATTTTTAATATACACTTTTAATATATAAACATTACATAATACACTTTATATTTGTCTGCACTTTTTGCCAATTTGCGATAATGCAAAAGTGAAAAGAGATATTTGACTCTAAAGGCAGTTACTTCAAACTAAGACCGGTTCAGGGTCGCATTTAAATGATCTGCCAATGGTGCATTTACGATACTCAATTTATTAAGGTATGATATATATAAGAGAGATCCTTTATATCCGTCTTATTATTGATAGATTTTGATCTTTATTTATGTGAATCATATAAAATATATGTACATCTTTTGTTGTATTTCTGTTCTTTTTCAAAATCAAAAAATTTTTATTTTCAAGAGAACGCTTAACTAATGCTGTAGTGTTTAATTTTTTGGTTTGTACACTATGTTTGGTATTATAAGGCATTTTTGTTTTCGTATTTCTTTTTTAAAAAGCTATACTTTATTATACCTCATCTAGTTTACTTACCGTTGCACGTCATTATTATTGACAGAGATCTAAGTTGACATAGTTGCCAAAGTATAAAAAAATCCTGACTATATTTTAAATCAAATAGGTCACATAATAATTGCAAAAGTATTATCATCTCTTTACAACGACTATTTAAATTCTTACATGACATTTTTGAAATAAAACACACTAATTTTGTTCTAAAAAGAACAGATTTTATTAAATAGGTGAAAATATAAAGCAAGAAGTATTCACTTTAAAATTCAAAGTAATAAATTACAAAAAGTGTCAACACCGCAACTGTCAACTAAGTGTTACCAATTTATGCCAAAATATCACCTTCGTTCGATTACAGTTACAGTGTGTTCCGAACAAATGTTCTTCATAATAACGCTTTATAATGCATTTATACAAATCAAATGAAACATATTATTGTGTATTTCTTTAAGTTAACACTAATAGAAATCTTTAAATATTATTTCTACGCGTATATAATAGAATATGTCTAGTGGCTGTAATGCCAGTGTACTCAGCAAAGTGATTCTAAAAAAGAACACACCTACCGCCTAAATATTTCGTGTTGGTATCATGTGACCTCACGGACTATGACGCGGATGACGTGTAACGGTAAGTAAATTAGATGAAGTATAGGTATTTTTATCTTAATGTGTTCACAGGTACTTGTTATTAATTTATATTACTAACCTAACCAAACATCTCCGTTTACAACAAACGTACAAAAAAATGGCTGATACTAACGAATGCATAAAAAATAATGAAAAGGTTGATTGAATGAGATGTGAGATGTTTGATCTGTAACCAAATCCTATTTCGAGATTTAAAATTTTGTTAGCTCTGGTTACCATGGCGTAATTTGTAATAGTATCCAGTGTTTTGTCTGCATTTGCGTGTTCAAAACATTCTAGTTGTTTTTTGATCATTACCGTGGCGTAATTTGTAATAGTATCCAGTGTTTTGTCTGCATTTGCGTGTTCAAAACATTCTAGTTGTTTTTTGATCATAAAGTTTATCTTATTTTCAAAATAACCTACTATTACAGATATTTGTAGGAGTCGGTTTCTTTTGGGTAGTCGAAGATTTATTCTTGTTAGTTTTAACTTGAATTCAGCACGAAGTAGCTATGATTAGTTGTTGTTTTTGTGAGTTGACGACTTCGGTTTGTTTCTGACCTCCTTCCACTGTCAGATATTGAAGTTCGAGGTCCATGATCAAGTTTGCACATGGTTTTGTTGTTTCTCATCGAAAGCTGGCTGGCCTACACCCTGATGCCATTGATCTTTCCTTGCTTCTTCCGCTTTTGGAATCGATTTCTCAGTCTGAGGACAACGTAGTACCCTACCACTTATTAATAGGAGATTATTCCGTTAGTCACTTGGTCGTCACAGCTAGTTATCTAACAGAGAGTGTCAAATGTAGGTGATGTACCATACCCATAAGATGCCTCAACTCAGCAGATGTAGGTAGCGACCATGGTCTAGTATTATGTAAAATAAGAATAATTCTGAAATACTTCCCACCCAAAAGAGCTACGCCAACAAAAACAAAAATCAAAGTCGAAGGACTAAATACGGAATCCGCGGAATACTTATACAGGAAAAGAATATCAGAGAAGATCGAAGGGAATGAACTATTAGAAAACGATAACATCGAGGAAAGCTGGGAAAAACAAACATAATTATTGTTTGTTTAAAAGTCAGAGCTCAACAATAACATAATTATTGCAACAACAGAATCACTTGAAGAGAGGAAAGTAACGAACACTAACATATCAAAAAAGAAAACACCATGGTTTAAAGAGGAAGTAAAGACAAAATGTAAAGAAAAAAAGAAAGCCTTTTTACAATTCAAAACACAACACAACAGGCATACAACCACTATAAACGAATCAGAAATGAAACGAATACTTTAGTTAGACAAATAAAAAAATAACACTGACAGAGTTTCTCAAAACAGATGCAACACGACTTCTACGGAACACAAAAAGAAATATGGAGAATGGTCAGAAGACAAAGAAAAGAGATGAACGAACTAATAAAAACGAGACATTCAGAAGGAAACATAGGTAGACTACTTTCGATCCCTATTTGCTAAAAGTGACAATAATGAACCACCAACACCAGAGGTGACGACAAACGAAGAAATAAATATTGAGGAAGAAGAAGGTAAAGGCATTAAGGAAATTAGAGAATAGAAAATCACTCAACATCTCTCCTAAATTTTGATGGTCTGTCAGTTTCTTCCACCAATATTTTTGTTTCCTCATTTAGTTTTTCTTGATTTCCTGTGTTTTTATGGCAAAATTTTATTTTGCTATACAAAGTTTCACAAGGCTTAGTTTTTTTTTTATTTTTTAGCAAGGCTTTTTGTCGAAAAAAAAAATTGCACTTTGTAAAGACCATGTTGCTGTAAATAGGCTAATAACCTATTTATTTGCGTAGGTTATTGAGCTTTGAAGTTTCAAACTCATCTTGTGGTAACTGTATTTTAAAAAGTATTATATAACATATAATATTATATTATATATATATATATATATATATATATATATATATATATATATATATATATATATATATATAGCATCGGAAAAAGGAGTACGACCGTCAATCCAATATATATAAGGATCACTCAGACGAGTCTACCAATTTATTGTCTACCAAAAATACATAAACCTACGTTGAGCATGAGACCTATTGTGTCATCTATTAATTCACCTAATATAAAAATACCTAAATTTCTAACAGACATCTTATCTAAATCATATAATTACAACAATGACTTTAATATTGTTGATTCTTTCAACTTTAGTGAATTTATTAACAATTTTCAACTACCACAAGGTTACATTTTAGTAAGTTTTGATGTGGTATCTCTCTTCACTAACTTACCTCTGTCCAGTGTAATCACTTCCTTAAAAAATCTTTGGAATTCTATTAAACCTAACTGCCCTGTGTCTTGGGATATATTTGCAGAACTGTTACAACTTGTTTTCGACACTAATTTCTTGGTCTTTGATGACAAATTGTACCTTCAAACATTTGGTACACCTATGGGTTCCTCAATCTCTCCCATCCTAGTTAACTTTGTATTGAATGATTTGGTTTCTGACCGTTTAGGTCTTTTGGATTTTCAAATCCCTTTTATTAAAAGGTATGTGGATGATTTATTATTAGCCCTACCACCTGACAAGGTTCGGGGTACCTTATCCTTCTTTAATGAGTTTGATCCTCACTTACAGTTCACTGTTGAACTTGAGGACACTACCACCAATAGTATACCCTTCCTAGACATGCGTGTCATTAGAATGAGAGACAACACCCTAACCACAAGTTGGTATAGAAAACCAATGGCCTCTAATAGGTTCCTTAACTACCATTCCTGTCATCCCATGAAATATAAATTAAACCTTATAAAAGCTTTGAGCTACAGATTAAATAAATTGACACATCCAATTAATCGAAGGGAATCCTTTAAGTTATTGAGAAATATTCTAATAGAGAATTCATATCCTTCCTCTATCATTAATAAATACCTTTATTCACATAGCTATGGATCCTCAATTTATGACATACCCGATGATGACCAACTTAGAAACATCTCAAATAGTTCAATAAATAGCATTGTTCTGCATAATACTGTTCTTGAGAATACTACCACCCATTATTCTTCTTTACCTTATTTCCCTCAAGTTACTGAGAAGCTTATTAAATTGTATAAACAAAATAATATACCGGTTTAAAATTGCTGTTAAGAATGCTAAAACTGTTAGAAATTTGTTCTCTAAAACTAAAACACCCTTGTCCACTTTGGAACAAGTTAACACAATTTATAAAATTCCATGCGCTAATTGCAATTTATGTTACATTGGTCAAACTGGTAGATCATTAAAAGGTCGTCTCACTTCACATCGTAGTGACATTAATTTATCAAAACACACTTGTGCCCTGGCACAACACGCGATAAATACCAAACATGAAGTGGATTTCAATGAAGTTAAGATCCTTGCCACTGAACGCAATCTAGCTAAAAGACAGTTTTTGGAAATGTGTTCAATATTAAAACACCCTAATGCTTTAAATAAGAGAACTGACATAAGTAACTTGAGCCAAATATATCATGCTTTAATTTTGCAGAATTAGGCTTCTTGATCTTTTCACTATTATAAATGTCATATTAGGTGTACTACTTGAACCTTTTTCCATTTTTCATGAAATAATTTATATGCATAAAATAGAAATAAAATACGTAAAATAACTAAATAAAATAATTAAATATTCTTTACTTAACTTATTATTACATATGCAACTTACATTGCATTTTCATACAATGATTACTTAGATTAGTGTGAACAATTTATACTTAAATAAAATAATACAAATAATGTAATTGATTCATAGAATCCTTTGCAAATTACAGTTCCAAGTACATGAACCTTGGGCTGTTGGAAATTAATGTGTCGTTAACCACCTGTGGCTGATTAACTAGCCATAATGATTAACGTTATTACATACATATGAGGTTGAATAAAAATCTCCTGTTTGTAAATCTAGGCTGATTAGTGAGAGGAGTTGCTATTACAATACCAGTTCCTTTCACTGTTTTGTCTTTTACAACCGGGTAGTCATCCAAACTCATTTAAACTTTTAAATTGACCGCCCAATTATTTATGTTGGTACCTCCACCTTGCTGATCTGTCAAAAGCATTTTGACCTCAAGGTTGGCTGTCTTTTCGCGGTCTAGTTCGTTCCGGTTCATCTAACGCCATTTTTCCGGCGACACTTGTAGGGCTTTGATCGGTAACTTCATTTACACTACTTTTATAATTTTTATTAATATCACTTATATTGCTACCTAAAGTTAAAATCAAAGCTTAATAATCATAAAATAGTTGGAAGTTATCTATGATTTTCTTGGTTCTTGCTCACTAATTAACATTAAATAACATTTAATTTACTTTAGACCACATGGCCATTTGCTGTGCTAATTTTATAAGTTCATATATGTTGTTAGTTACTTAATTGTTTAAGATCAGCGTATTATGTCCATTTACTTAGTTTCATTCACATTATTGTTAATAACATTGACTGCTACATGTCTTTTTAAGGTAACAATTAACATCGTTTCCATGATTGTGTGGTTCTCATATTGTACTTTTTTAGATGAACTGATGATGCTTTCAAAACTCGAAAGCGAAACGTCTTCAAAATAGATAAAGTAGCCTATCAACTTTGTCTTTTATTTGTCCACCTAGAGACCGATATAAGAACCCACCACTCGTCTGAGTGATCCTTATATATATATATATATATATATATATATATATATATATATATATATATATATATATATATATATTATAGAACTACATTTTAAATATTTTTTCAGGTTTAGACGTCTTCATGGAACAGTCGGTATGCCCGGTGAACCCAAACAAAATACTCCTCGGCCAGATAGTGCAAGTACAACTACAAGTACCTTAGAATCTGTAACTGATAGTCAGGACCACGACAATTCAAATCAATGGGATATCGATATATCCAATTGGGATTCCGAAGATACTGAGTCACAATTCAAAAGGTTTGTAAAATCTATATGAAACCATAGATCTGTATATGGCAGAATTTTTTTAGGAGTGAAAGTCCGTATACGTCTGATGAGGAGGAACAAGAAGAATCATCAATTTCTCCTCTTAGAATACCTTTAAAACGAGAGGCATTCGAGTCGCCTAGGACACAACATGGCCCTGTACCTAATAGAGAAAAGAAGAATATTAAACCACCGGGGCTTCCTCTTGAAACAAACATTGTGCCTATTGCCGAAGAGGAGGATATTAAACCACCCAGGTCTCCACTTAAAACATTGTTCACAGTAGGTTCAGTCGATTTAAGTTATAAACTACACCGTCCTATATCTATTAAAGAAGATAAGGAATTGCTTGAGGTAAACATTATCAATTTTACTTTATTTTATTTTAAACTACATACGTTATACTCTAGGCGTGATCTGTTTTGGATTGGAAATTTTCGAAGGGAAGCTATTTTTTTGCTGAAATCCCTTCAGGATGTGCCCATTATCGATAATCACGATATGCGCCAGTCGCAAACCCTGTGCTAATTTTTTTATTTAACAAAATCTGAAAACAATTGAAAATTTCTCATTTTTTTGCTCCTATTTTCATTTATAATTCGAAAAATATTGATCTTAGAGAAAAAATTATAGGTAGTTAAAAGTTTCGTTATTAAATTTTACACAATATTTTGTTAGCTAGAAATTGAAAATTTAATGGTTATTGTTGAAAATAAAAGCAATAATTGGAAAAAAAAAGTACAAAAAAATGAAGTTAATCCTTTAAATGTTTTCGACTTTCTAAACTTGACTTACAAGTTCCATATTCCGCCTAGAAAAACTTTTTATTATGTTTAAAACGTGTGCTAAATTTTGTTAATATCGGTCGGATAAGTTTTGCATAATAATTTTGCAATCCAGCCTACTGGAAAAAAATCGCAAATTTTCAAATTCATAGTAGGCCCTAAATAAGGTCCTCAGATAGTTGCAATGTTTTTTACATATAAAGGAAGTCTCACACTTTCAAACGCTTTTTGTAAAATTTAAATCGGTTTACTAGGAGACCCTAGAAATTTTTTTAAAGTTATAAATATTTTTTAGGCTTATAAACAAATTAAATAACTTTACGAGCTTTAAACATATCAATTTCAAAATGTATACACTTAAAGAACATTAAAAGACGCTTCTTTTAAAAAACAAAAAGATACATTCGGCTTACTGGTTGCCGAGATATTGAAGGTCAAAGTTGGTATACATTTGCCGTGTAACCAGAAGTGATAGAGGGCTCGTTTTTAAACAAATACCCTCGTCTTGCCAAATACATTGTACATGAAAAGTTTTACGTAATGCGCTTTATGGCAATATCCATAAAAAAGACAAATTAAAAACCGTTTTCGCTTAAAATGTCGCTCGGAATGCATGAGACGTGGTGGTGAGGGACATTCACTTCAAATGTGAATCGGCGAGTATCAAGTAGGGGACCATCAGTTGGTTTAATTTCGGGTTTTGAAATATAAACAAAAGTAAAGTGCTCCAAAATCTGTAAGGGCTTGTAAAGTAAATTGTTACTTTTAGTAAACAAATATGTATTTATAAATTGTTAATAAATAATTTGAATTGTTAAAACGAAGGAAATTTTTTTTTAAATCAAACATTTTAAAATAATTAACATTAAAAATAATTTATTTCTGCAACTTCAAGCGAATTAAATTTTCTTAAATCAATGTGTTTCATGTCCTGCCTTTGTAAACTGGATTGTATACATTTTGTTAAACTGTCTTGTTTAATTACTCGAGTTTTACATATCGACAATGATTCGTCACAAAGGAGGCAGATTTTTTCACTCATCTTTTCAAATCAATGAATCTAAAAAAGTAAAATAGTTTAGCCTCTCAGATTCCAAGTATTATCTAAATTTTAAATTATATGAATTTAGAATAATTTTGTAAAAAAAATATTAGTAATATGTCAATCATTTTATATAAAATATTTAAAAATATAAAATATATTATACCTTTCAGAACTTCTCTTAAAATTTAGTCGATGTGCTCGTACAATCCTCACAAAGCAACGCGAAATATATAAACTTTTTATTAGTTTTTGAAATACAAAATATTTTACTGTTAAAACTCACGGATTTGACAATATAACTACTATATAATAGCGTGGAACATAATATGATCAAACCACTGAAAAACGTGTTCAGCACGCCTTTAATACAAGCCCTTACAGATTTTGGAGCACTTTACTATTTGTTTTTATTTCAAAACCCGAAATTAAACTGATGGTCCCCTACTTGATACTCGCCGATTCACATTTGAAGTGAATGTCCCTCATCACCACCTCTCATGCATTCCGAGCGACATATTACGCAAAAAACGGTTTTTTATTTGTCTTTTTTATGGATATTGCCATAAAGCGCATTACGTAAAACTTTTCATATAAAAAGTATTTGACAAGACGAGGGTATTTGTTTAAAAACGAGCCCTCTATCACTTATGGTTACACGGCAAATGTATGCCAACTTTGACCTTCAATATCTCGGCAACCAGTAAGCCGAATGTATCTTTTTGTTTTTTAAAAGAAGCGTCTTTTAATGTACTTTAAGTGTATACATTTTGAAATTGATATGTTTAAAGCTCGTAAAGTTATTTAATTTGTTTATAAGCCTAAAAATGTTTATAAATTTAAAAAAAATTATAGGCTTTCCTAGTAAACCGATTTGAATTTTACAAAAAGCATTTGAAAGTGTGAGACTTCCTTTATATGTAAATAAAATTGCAACTATCTGAGGGCCTTATTTAGGGCCTACTATGAATTTGAAAATTTGCGATTTTTTTCCAGTAGGCTGGATTGCAAAATTATTATGCAAAACTTATCCGACCGATATTAACAAAATTTAGCACACGTTTTAAACATAATAAAAAGTTTTTCTAGGCGGAATATGGAACTTGTAAGTCAAGTTTAGAAAGTCGAAAACATTTAAAGGATTAACTTCATTTTTTTGTACTTTTTTTTCCAATTATTGCTATTTTTTCAACAATAACCATTAAATTTTCAATTTCTAGCTAACATAATATTGTGTAAAATTTAATAACGAAACTTTTAACCACTTATAATTTTTTCTCTAAGATCAATATTTTTCGAATTATAAATGAAAATAGGAGCAAAAAAATGAGAAATTTTTAATTGTTTTCGGATTTTGTTAAATAAAAAATTTAGCACAGGGTTTGCGACTGGCGCATATCGTGATTATCGATACTGGGCATATCCTGAAGAGATTCCAGCAAAACAATAGCTTTCCTCGAAAATTTCCATTATGGTCTGAATTTCTACAGATGCCGCCTAGTCTATTAGTAAATACTGGATAAGTGTCTCTTTAAATCATCTAGGCTTATGACGTTTCTGCATTTCCACTAACGGATTCTTCTTCTTCTAATGGCGCTACAACCCTTTGTGAGTCTTGGCCTGCTTAACAATGTTCTTCCATTCCGCCCTGTCCGATACTTTCCTTCGCCACTGCCTGATGTTCATGGTTTTAAGATCCCTCTCTAAGTCGTCTATCTATCTTTTAAGGGGGCTTCCTCTTGTTCTGTTTCCTTGGGACTTCCATATCTGGACTACTTTTACAGCTCAATTATCTGGCATTCTTTCTAGGTGACCAAGCGAGTTTAGTCTTTGTGGCTTTACAAATCTAACAATATCTGCGCTCTGCATTAGTTCATCCAGCTCGTGGTTCATTTTAATTCTCCACGAACCATCGCTGCATTGGGTTAGTTCAAATATCTTCCTTAGTATTTTGCGCTCAAATATTCCCAGTTGATTTTCATCAGTGGTTGAGAGGGTCCACGTTTCACATTTATATGTGACCACTGGTCTAATTACTGTTTTGGTATTCAATCGGTATTTATAACCCGTTTATTCCAGTTTTGCCTTTTCAATTTGTGTATATTTCTATTGTCATTTATTTTGTGTAGGTGTGTCTGATGAATCTAAATAAAAGAGAAAATAATTCAATACACTGCCCCATAAAAACGGAATATCCTGTTCCAAAAGACGGTTACTTTCCCAGCAGACTGCGTTTGTTTACACTTCTTTGGCTTCGGCGAAGTTGAGTGATCCCATTCACGTGAATGCTGCTTGGTTTCGGGGGTAAAGTGAAACACCCATGTTTCATCGCCGTTAATAATGAAATCCAAAATTTCTTCTTTGTTGTCTTCTAATTGTTACAAAAACTGCTGAGCACACTCGACACGTTGCTGTTTGTGATTTTCTGTAAGCAGTCGTGCTATCAACCGCGCACACACTTTGTAGCAGCCTAATTTCTCTGTTGATATCTTATGAATTGTAATCTGGTAAGTCTCAGGAATGCGCAAAGCAAGGTCCTTAAGGGTAAACCTCTGATGTTCAAGCAATATTCTTTCAACTTTTTCGACAAGTTCGTCTGAAACTGAAGACCTTCCGCTACGATCTTCATCGTTAATTTCCGTTCTTCCTTCACTGAATTCTCTACACCATTTGCGAACTGTGGAACAGATATGCACTTTTTTCCATAAACTACGATTAACTGACAATAAATGTCAATAGATGAAATCCGTTTTGCATTTAAAAAAGCATCAGCACAGCACAAATTTGGCATCTGGCGGTAACAGCGATTGGGAGCTCCATATTCCAAGGCTGCTAGGCAGGCACTGAGCAATGCAGCGAGGCATGAGTGGTGGGGTGCAAGAGTGAGAGTTAATGCGTAAGGCAATGTTGCCAGTTTTCTCTCAGGGGCATAGGGAACCTTATTTACAAACGACCCTAGAATTTTTCGAAACTTTTTCCCATTGGACTTGTAGTTTTCACTTAAATCGTAATAAACCGTTTTCACCTCCTTTTATTTCTCAACCTCAGATCTTCGTTATTTTTCCTTGAATTTTTGATATATTTTCGTTTAACAATACACACGTTTACTAGTTTTTCTCTTTTTATCATTTTCAAAGGCTTTGGCTCTTGTCTACTTTTAATAATCTAATGTATCTGTTGTAGGTTGACCGTGCTGAGTCAGCTTCCGAACGTCCTATAACTCATGATAAGAATTCAAATAATGATACTAAACCCGAAATATCAGACATTAAACATGAAGGAAGCAAATTGTATTCCAACACCAGTTATGACCACCTTCGCGCCTTACATAAGCAACTGCGAAGTGCCCCAGTAAAAGTTAAAATTGAGAACGATATTCAAAGAGATAATGAGCGGAGTAGTTCAAATGTTTCGAATTTGGACCGTGTTTCTGAGAAGGATAGGACTTCTCCTCAACGAAATGAAGATATTGATTTGACCAAAGATAAGGTCATAAATAGTGATAAGGAAATTGAAAAGACTGCTGAAGTGAATACAACGAATGATAGGAATACGATATCAAATTGGGATGATATCGACGAACCGGTAGCTGTTAAAACCGAAAAAGGTAAGTTGAGTATTTAATATAGTACGTTAAGTTTTAAATTAGATATACACAATATAAATGGCAACACTGCGCGCCGTCAACTTTCCACGAACCTTGCGATAAAGTTTACCTTAACGTTTAAAGCGATAAGAGCGTAGATTTTTAGTTCAGTTTTCTGCACATATCTTTTCTATTCATTCAGAAAACTTCCAGTTTTCTGCACATATCTTCGTTCAAGGTCCACGATTCAACACTATAAAAAAGAACAAGGAAGACGTAGCATCGCAACATTCTTACTTTTGTATCAAGAGAGAGGTTGTGACTCTTGAAGAAGTCCCAAAATCCGATTGAAGGTGGATCTCGTTTTTCCGATGCGTGCTTTAATCTCCTGGTTGTTGGTCAATTCTTCGTTTATTATGGTGCCGAGGTAGTTGTAGTGCGTCACTCTGTCTACATGAGATTGGTTGACGTAGAGTTGACCTTCCTTGCATGCAGTCAATTCATAATATTGTTAAAAAATTTGAGATTTGTTATTGCCCCAAATATGGTAGAAAATGTGCACGCTCAAGAAGTCATCATCATCACTGGCTCGACAACCCTTTTTGGGTCTTGGCCTGTTCAAGGATTCTTCTCCATTCTGACCCGTTTCGTGCTTTTTTTCCCATTTTAATTTTTAATGTTATTATATCATTTTCTATTTGTTCTACGTATCTCAGCTTCGGTCTTCCTCTTGTTCTTTTTCCTACTGGCACTTGTTTGAATATTTTGTTTGGTATTTCGCCTTCTTCCATTCTTTCCACATGTCCAATCTAACGCAGCCTTCCTATTTGAATGAATGTTATGATATCCGCATCCTGGTATATGTTGTATAGTTCAAAGTTATACCTTCTCCGCCAAATCCCGTTTTCTTTTGTGCCCTTATATATGTGTCGCAAGATTTTTCTTTCAAAGGTGGCTAATAACGTTTCCTCCCTTTTAGAGAGTGTCCAGGTTTCTGAACCGTATGTGAGTACCGGTCTTATTAAGGTTTTGTATATTTGGCATTTTGTTTTTCTGGAGACGTTATCTGATCTTAGTTGCCTAATTTAGCCATGGTAACATTTATTGGCAATAAATATTCTCCTCTTCACTTTCTCTGCAACGTTGTTATCAGACGTAACTAGGGATCCTAAGTATGTAAAGTTTTTTACCGCCTCAATGTTGTATTCTCCTATTGTTAAATTTGGCAGCTGCCTTATTTGTGCGTTTTTATTTGCAGGCATATATTTTGTTTTTGTCTGATTGATTTTAAGACCACTATTATTTGCAGCTCATTCTATTTGAGCGAATGCCTCTATCATTTTTCTTCTTGATCTTGCGATTATGTCAACATCATCTGCAAATGCTAGTACTTGTACGCTTTTATTAATTATTGTTCCTCGGGTATTAACTGTTGTGTCTCTTATTATTTTTTCAAGTATGATGTTGAATAATATGCATGATAGAGCGTCTCCCTGGCGTAGTCCCTTCTTCACATCTATTGTTTCCGTTAATTCGTTTTGTATCCGGATTTTACTTTCTACTTTTAGTGTTTCTTTGTCGTAGAACAAATATCTGGTCTATTGTTGACTTCTGTCTACAGAAGCCACATTGGTATTTGCCAACTATTTTTTCAGCGTATGGTCCAAGTCTTTCATACATTACGTTGGACATTATTTTGTATGCCGCATTCAACAGCGTGATTCCACGGTAGTTTTCAGATTCTAACTGGTTTCCTTTTTTATGTAGTGGTACAATAATGCCGCTATTCCACTCCTTTGGTAGCTGTTTATTCAACCATCTCTTTCTTATCAGCTCATGTATGGCTTTAAGTAATGCGTCTCCTCCTTCTTTCAGTAGCTCCGATGATATATGATCCGATCCCGGTGATTTATTGTTCTTTAATTTGTCCACTGCTGTTCTAATCTCTGCTATTGTTGGTGGACTCTTTTCTCTGTTGTCTGCTTGGTCTAACGGTATATCAGGGTTCATCTTTGTCCTATTCACCCCAAGCTTTTCCTTAAAATGTTCTGTCCATCTTCCAAGTATCTCTTGCTGTTCTGTCAATATATTACCCTCCTTATCTTTACACATCGTTGTTCTCGGTTTGAACTCTTTTCTGCTTTTGTTGAGTTTCTGGTAAAATTTTCTTGTCTCTGTTGGTTTACTTAGTTCTTGTAGTTCTTGAAGTTCCTTGTTGATATATTCTCTCTTCTTTCTTCGGTGAATTTTCTTTTCTTCTTTACGTAGTTGTTTATATTCTTCCTCTGCTTGTCGGGTTCTGTGCCTCTGTTGCATCTGTAGATATGCTCTGTTTTTTCTTTCTGTTATAGTTTGACATTCTTCGTCAAACCAGTGATTCGTTCTTGTTCTTCTTTCTTTACCTTCCATGCCCAACACCTCTTTAGCTGTTTCTTTTATGATTTCTCCGCACTCTTCCCACTCCCCATTTAGGTTTTCATGTTTTAGTCTGTTTTCTAGTTTGATGCTTATATTTTCTTTGGACTCTCTATTTTTGTTTGTTTCTTTGAGTCCTTCTATATTGTATCGTTCATGTTTAGAGCCTCTTTCCTTTTTGATGTTTGAAATTCTAGCCCTTATCCTACTTTCGACCAGGTAGTGATCAAAATCCGCATTTGCCCCTCTTCTGGTACGGACGTTTATTATATTCGATTGGTGTCTTGAGTCTACAATAACATGATCTATCATATTCACTGTAAGTCCGTCTGGTGATTTTCAGGTGCCTTTGTGTATATCTTTTCGAGCGAAGTATGTGCTGGCAATCACCATGTTAAGTGATCTTGCTAGGTTTACCAACCTATTGCCATTGTCATTTGATTGCTCATGGAGACTGTGCTTACCTATTGTGGGTTGGAATTGCTGCTCTCTTCCAACTTTTGCGTTTAAGTCTCCATAAATTATTTTTATATCACTTTTTGGGCATGACTGGTATGCGGACTCTAATTCATCATAAAACTCTTCTTTGACTTCCTCTTCTTTTTCTTCTGTGGGGGCATGCGCATTAATTAGGCTGTAGTTGAAGAAACGTCCTTTAATTCTTAAAATACACATTCTGGGACTGATGGCTCTGAAGGCTTTTATTATATGTCTTACTCTCTTGTTAACTATGAATCCAGTGCCCAAAATGTGATCTTTAGGAGCGCAGCTGTAGAAAATGGTATGGCTCTTTTTTTCTATAATATTGTTTCCAATCCACCTCATTTCTTGTATGGCAGTTATGTCAATTTTGTATCTACTTAGTTCGTTGAAGAGATTTTGGAGAGCCCCTTATCTGTACAATGTTCGAACATTCCATGTCGCAACCCTCAAATCGTGTTCCTTTTTCTCGCACAGTCGTCGTCATTTAATCAGTCCGGCTTTTCTTCCTTTAACGTTCATAACTCATGGTTTTTCTAGGAGAAGGTAGTTAACCTTCAGCCCAACCCCCTATTCGTCGGAGGACCAAGACTCCCTTCTTCGTCAGCCCTGACCCCACCTTCCATTGGGGGTTGGTTACCCAATCTCCAGTGGGGTTGCTCAGGTTACCGGTGTGTACCAGCTTGGAGGTGAAGATAGGAATTGAGTAGGAGAGGCTAAGTGACGCCAACAGGATACGGCATCATATATTGCGCTTCACTACCCCTTCACACACCACGCTCAAGAAGTGCCACAAGAAAAATTTAAGGAAAGGGAATATACAAATTTGTACAAAAATCGAGGTATATTCAACACGTTCAAATACAACCGTTTCACGAGAGTTAGATCTTAGCCATGTTACTGTAATGAAAGTATGGAAAAAGCATGGTTACAAAAATTTGAAATATTCGAAAACCCAGCAGTAAGATTATATTCACTGATGAATCTTCTGTTTCGTTAGTCTTCTTCTTCTTCTTTGAGTGCCTCTCCTATCGAAGATTGGATATCATTATGGCGATTCTAATTTTATTAACTGCTGTTTTGAATAATTCGTTAGTGGCACAGCCAAATCACTCTCTTAAATTTCTCATCCAGGACATTCTTCTACAGCCTGGATTTCTGCGTCCTTGGATCTTTCCTTGCATTATATTTTGTAAGAACGTGTACTTTTGTCCTCTCATCAGGTGGCCTAAGTATTCAAGTTTTCTCTTTTTTATATTCATAATAACTTCTGGATCGTTATTTATTCTGCGTATTACCTCTTCATTTGTAATTCTATCCACCCAACTTATTCTTAGTATACGACGGTAGCACCACATCTCAAAGCTTTCAAGATTTTTAATATTCCTCTGTTTAAGAGTCCATACCTCAACACCGTAAAGCAAAGTACTCAATACATAGCATGTTAACATTCTAGTTCGTAGATGAATACTAATATCACGGTTACAAAATAATTTTTTTTTCATTTTTATAAAGGTAGACTTGGCAATTTCAATTGGTCTTTTTATCTCGTGATTTTGGTCACCTGTTTCATTAATGAAGGTTCCCAAGTATTGGTATTCGCTTACTTTTTCAAGTTGGGTACCGTTTACTGTAATACTGGTGTCATGAATTGGATTCTTACTGAAGGTCATATATTTGGTTTTTTTGACGTTCATCCTTATGCCGTAGTTATTACTTATCTCCTTCATACTTTCAACTAGATGTTGTAGATCTTCCACTGTTCTTGCCATTATCACAGTATCGTCTTGCCATTCTATATCGAATGTTATTGATAACTTCTCCATTGGCTATTATCCCTTCGTTTGCATGTGAGAGAGCTTCTTGGCATATTTTTTCGCTATAGATATTAAACAAAAGCGGTGACAATATAAAACCCTGTCGTACTCCTTTACGTATTTCTATTTCGTCCGATGTTTGGTCTTCTACCTTTATATTAGCTCGTGGATTCCAGTACAGATTTAATATTATTTGCATGTCTGTGGTGTCGATGTTCTTACCCTTCAGGATTTCTTTTAGTTGATTGTGGCGTACTTTGTCAAAGGCCTTTTCAAAGTTTATAAAGCAGGCATGCACCTCTTGGTTAACATCTAGA